TGTGTATGTATATATATATGTATGTGTGTGTGTGTGTGTGTGTGTGTATGTGTATGTATGTATGTATGTATGTATGTCCACTACCACACCTAGCTCTGACATGCTGTTAGAAAGTGACTCAAATTGACTTTGTTTTTGTTTGGGATTTATTTTATGTGTGTGAGTGTTTTGCTTGCATGTATGTATGTTGGTGCTGGGAACCAGCAACAACTGCCCTTAACCACTGCAAGCTCTCCAGTCCTATTCTTTGTTTTTCGGTTTATTTTTATGTCTATACACATTTTTTTAAAAAGTGTTGGGTGTGTGTGTGGCGGGCGTGTGTGTGACGGGTGTGCGTGTACACACAGCCAGAAGTCAGCACCGGGTCTCTTCCTCTGTCGTTGTGCACATTTCTTTGAGGCTGAGAGCCGCTCTGTAGGTGCACACCACCTTTCCTGGCTTTCCTGTGAGCCATAGGCATCTAAACTCAAGGTCCTCATGCTTACATAGCAGGTACTTGACTGATTGAGCCGTTTCCTTGGGCCTTTGTTTGTTTGTCTTTTGCTGGGGAGACGGTCTCTGCATGCATCCCTGGCTGGTCTGGAACTTGCCATGTAGATCAGGCTGACCTCCCGACTCAGAGATTCTCCAGACTCTGCCTCCCCAGTCCTGGAATTAAAAGTGCACACTACCATGTCCAACACCATTTTGGTTTTTTAGATAGTCTTATGTAGTCTAGGCTGGCTTTAACCCCCCTATGTAGCTGAAGATACCTTGAATTCTTGATTCTCTAGTCTCCTCAATGCTGGGACCCACCTTGACTCTCCTTGCCCCTCTGTATTTCATTTGTTTTTGTTTTTTGAGGCAGAGTCTCCTTATTTAGTCCTGGTTGTCCTGGAACTCACTATGTAGACCAGGCAGGCCTTAAACTCACAGAGATCCGCCTACTTCCTGAGTTTGGGGATGAAGGGTGTGTGCCACCATGCCCAGCGCTACTCCGTATCTTTGCTGAAATCTCACTAATCCATTTGACCTTATATGTTCTGATAGTAGGGTGTTCTAGAACTGCGCCCATTCCCACCTTTGATCTTTTCCTCTGGCTGTGCCCACTGGCATACAGTCTAGTAGTGCCTTGTCCGCTTAGCTGTCCTTTCCAGGTATCATGGCTCAGGCATCCACTTTTCCTCATGAGGATGGCTCACTGAAACTCTGTTTGTTTTTAGGGCAAGTTTCTGGCTTTTTATCAATATGCGAAATCATTTAATTCAGATGACTTTGATTATGAAGAACTGAAAAATGGGGATTATGTCTTCATGAGGTGGAAGGTAAGGTTTTGCCCAGGCCATCTCCCTGTCTCCCACATGCCAGGCCCTAGAGCACCCAGATACACTTTCTCTTGCAGGTTATGCCTTCCCACTGTGCCAGGTGCTTGTCACAGTGGGTCTTCATGGCAGGGCCCCTACACACTTGTAAACAGCAGCTGTGTGGTGGCTCCAGAGCACACCTGAGTAAGATGGTTATGCTGGTTAGTGGACAGTGGGCATATTTATGCCAGTAGGCACCCCTGACCCAGTCCTCTTCCTTTCATTCTTCTACCCAAGAATCCTGTGACCCTCCAGGATGAGTCATCCAAGTGCTCTGGGGAACCAGGGCAGCTGTCCTTGAACTTAGTCACCACTGCATGCTGTTCCTACCACAGTTTAAATGCCATCAGAGTGACTTGCTCTCCAGCCACATCCTCTACCCAGTGCTCAGGAAGTGGGGGCCAGGATTGAAGCACAAGTCCTTCCATCCCTGGCCCTTGCTCCCTCTAGTCCTTCAGTGGACTGGCCTTTGCTCGAGAGTCCTGTGCTTCTCTGCTGGGGCAGTATGCTGTCCACAACCACATGGATGCAAAGCCATGAAACAAGTTGGGAAAAGGACTTTGGGAACACCTGTCCACCTCAAGTCCCCATTGCCTGGTCCAGGAGGAGAAAGAAAGCTACTTGAGGGGACTGGAGAGATGGCTTAGTGGTTAAGAGCACTAGCTGCTTTTCCAGAGGATCCAGGTTCAATTCCAAGTACCATATGGCAGCTCACAATTGTCTGTAACTCCAGTTCCAGGGGTCCAACATCCTCACACAGACATGTATATGCAGGCAAAACACCAATACACATAAAATAAATCACTTAATAAAAAAAAAGAAATCTACTTGAATACAACACATTATAAATTTCATAAAGACCAAACATCTAAAGTGGTCGTTTGTTGTCTGTACTTTGTGTGGCTGATCATTTGGGAAGTGGGATATCATTTCCTCCCTAGACAGCCGAGGAGAACACACAGTGAGCTTCCCTCTCTAGCCCCTTCTGCCATCCAGTGTGAGCCTCCATCTCCTGCCCACTCTGCTCTCCAGCACATGGTGAGCCTCCCTCCCCAACCTGCCGTACAGTGGGAAACGTGCCAGCTAACCCTGTAAAGCACTTGCACTCATGCTTATATTAATTTTTTCCATTGCTGAGATTGTTACTCAGGCTTTGCACACACTAGGCAAGTGGTCTGCTACAGAGCCAGACCTCAGCCCTGAATTAAACTTTAAAGTGATACTTTGAAGGTTGAATAAGGCAGAAAAGAGTGGCCATTTAAAAAAAAAAACAAAAACCTGGAGCGGGGGCTGGAGAGATGGCTCAGCAGTTAAAAGCACTGGCCGCTCTTCAAGAGCACCCAGGTTCAATTCCCAACACCTATATGGCAGCTCACAGCCATCTATAACTCCAGTTCCAGGGGATCTGGCAGCTACACGCAGGCAAAACACCAATACATAAAAATATATGAGTTCTTAAAAAAAAAAAAAAAAAAAACGGAAGAAGGGTTGGAAGTATAGTTTTTGGTAGAGCAATTTGTCTAGCATACACGAAATCCTGGGTCTCATCCCAGCATTGGAAAGTAAATTAAAACAGTTGGTTAAAGCAGGGAGTTGTCTCCAAACAATTTCTCTTAGAGTAACTCCCATGGAATTTTGGTTTACCTGAAGCCCTGGGGCTTCTGACCCCGTCTCCCGGAGAACTGGAGACTTTCACAGGTTGCCTGTCTTTGAAGTGTGCCTCGCACAAAAGGTGCTGTTCTTGTGACTTTGACCAGGGTGGAGCTTTGGTGAGGTGTCACAGGGACCCACCTCAGAATGACCACAGACTGCAATAGATGTGACTCATTATTAGAGGTAGTGTCCCAGAACCCAGGGACACTCCCTGGAGACCAGACTGAAATCCATGTCCAGTCGTTCTGTCAAGTGATCTTCAAGAGGTAGGTAGGCAGACCCAGAGGAAAGTGTATTGATTGGTCGTTAGATCTCCAGGGGTAACCCCTCCTCTGAGTAGCTGATCCTATGGGCACTGTGAGGTAGATAGGATACTGTAGTAACAGATGAGCACCCCCAAACCATGCAGAGACCCTTTTTCTAGCAGTCTTTAGAACGCTCTGGTGTCTTACTGCAAGGGAAGGTATTGACTGATCTCATATCTGCGTGCAGGAGCAGTTCCTGGTTCCGGACCACACAATCAAAGACATCAGCGGTGCTTCCTTTGCTGGCTTCTATTACATCTGCTTTCAGAAGTCAGCAGCCTCCATAGAGGGCTACTACTACCACAGGAGTTCAGAATGGTAAGGACCCTGGGGCCAGTGCTGGAGCAAAAGTTGCCCTCAACTCCAGCCATCACATCTGAAAGAGATTCTCTTAGTCTATCTCTGTCCAAATTCCATACTCTGTGTGTACCATCATTTAGATGATCTCACGTAGAGCAGAGACTTTTTCTTACCTAGAAAGTGAAGTAATTAAATGAAAGTGGATATTATGTAAAGATACCATTTCTAAATACTGTTAAAAACTTTTAACTTTTTATTTAATATGTATGGATGTTTTTCCTGAATATATATGTATACCACATGTGTACCTGGTGCCTGCAGAGAGAGGGCATTGGATCGTCAGGAACTAGAGTTTTGAATGGTTGTGAGCCACTATGTGGGTGCTGAGAACCAAACCTGGATCTTCTGCAAAACCAACAAGTACTCTTAACCACTAAGCCATCTCTCCCGCCTTATTTCTAAATGAGTGTGTATGTGAGAGAGAGACAGACACACACACACACACACACACACACACACACACACACACACACACACACACACGAGATACAACTTTCTGTGTATTATGTGAGATGGAACCTAGGACCCTGTACATGCTAGGTAAGTATTTTATTCCATCACTAAGAGCACCCAGGCATTCTTACATTTTCAGGAATGCTTGCCTAATTCTGATCATTTCCTATTTATTCCTCACAAATTATCAGTAACTCTAATGCAATCTCTTATAGACAGTGTGACCTCTGCAGCTACCAGCTGGCACTGCCTCTCATGCCCTTGATCTGGTGAGCTAGAGGCCATGAGAGTTCGCCTCCCTGTCTTACATTCCTCTAAGGCTATGTGTGGTCAGAAGGCCACCTCAAGTGCTGGCTTTTGCCATCTTTTAGGGGACTCTCGTGCCTCCTTGCTGTACCGTGTGGGTTAGCTATACCAGGAAGTACCTTATTTCTTCTCTGAAAGTGGAACAGTATGGGCTGAAGAGATCGCTCAGCAGTTAGGGGTACTTCATGCTCTCCCAGGGGTCCCAGGTTTAAATCTCAGCTCACATGGCAGCTCACAACTGTCCGTAACTCTATTTCCAGGGAATCTAATGCCCTTTTCTTCCAAGTACCTGTACATATGTAGTGCACATAAATTCACACAGGCTCACACACATAAATAAACGGTTAAATGAAATTAAAAAAAAAATAAGTTGGGTGATAGTGGTGCACACCTTTAATCCCAGCACTTAGAAGGCAGAGGTAGGCAGATTTCTGTGAGTTCGAGGCCAGACAAATGGAACCCAGTTTCCTTTCAAATTTTTTTTTTCTGGCTCTGAGTGATCCTAGCCTAGATCAATTCAAATTCTTTGTTGGTAGCATTCGGTAATTGTTGTGTTTTCAGGTGAATTTTTAAAACCTTTTCATAGTCCTACAATATCTGGCCTTTGTATCTTGACATCTCACTTAGCAATGCTCTGAGGAATTACTCCTGTCACCGCATGTGTGGGAATTGTTCTTGGGTTGAGACAGGGTTTCACTATATAGTCCAGGCTTACACTCCCCACATCTGCCTCCTGGGTACTGAGTTAGAAATGTGCACCACATCTTAATGACGGTTTCTATTGCTGTGATGACTGTGACCAAAAGCAATTTCAGGAGGAAATGGTTTATTTCACTTGTATTTCCCTATCACATTTCATCATCAGAGGCAGACAGGGCAGGAACTCAAACAGGGCAGGAACCTGGAGGCAGGAGCTGCTGCAGAGGCCATGGAGGACTGTAGCTTACTGGCTTGTTCAGCCTGCTTTTTTATAGAACCCAGAACCATTAGCCCAGGTGTGGCACCACCTACAATGGGCTGGGCCCCCCCATATTAATGAAGAAAGAGCCCCTGCAGGCTTGCCTGCGGCCAGATCGTATAGAGGCATTTTCTCAACTGAGGCTCCTTCCTCTCTGATGACTCTTAGTTTGTGTCAAGTTGACGTAAAACTATCTAGCACAACCACTGTTATTAGGCTAGAGCTCTTATTTGTTACCAAATTCTCTGTTGCATATCTGTGCAGCATTTGTTTGTCCATCCTTCTGTCTGTGAAGGGACTCTTGGGTTGCTTTCCTCTTCGGCTGATCAAAGTAGTGCTGCTATGAATGTAGGTGTGTGGATTTCTGAGTTCCTGGTTTCCTTTACTTTGGGCGTATATGTACAAGTGAAAGGGCTGGGTTAGGTGCGGAGTCTCTACCATTCTAAGAACTGCCAGCCTTCTCTGCAGAGGCAGTGCCTTCTGGTATTCTTACCAGCAAGACTTGAGAGCTTCAGTTTTTCATGTCATCCCCCAGCACATGCTAGCATGTTTTAATAGTTGCCCAAGATGGCAGGAAGAAGTGCCTCGATGTAGTTTTAATGCATATTCCTAGCAACTAGTACATAATCCTTTTGGAGTTTTGTGTCGTTTCTTTAAAGATTTGTTTTATTTTGTTATTGTTTGTTTGTGCATCTTTGCATCTGATTGAAGATGCCTGCCAAAGGTCAGATGCCCTGGAGCCAGAGTACCAGGCAGTTGGCTGCAGCCCAGTGTGGGTGCTAGAAATAGAACTTAGGTCCTCTGTAAAAGGTTATAACCACTGAGCAGTCTTTCCAACCCCTCATTGATTTATTTTGTGTGGTGGGATGGTAGGTGTATGTATTGTGTGGTAACATGTGTGCCACAACAGGAGATGGTGGCTTTCTCCTTCCATCGTGTGGGTCTCAAGGATCAAACTCAGGTTTCAGTCTTGGCACCAGGTTCACACTGAGCCATCTTGCTACCTTTTTAAATTAAAATTTTTTTATTTTATGTGTCTGGCAGTTTTGCCTGCATATATATCTATACACCACTTCCATGTCTGGTGTCTATGGAAGCCAGAAAAGAGCACTGAATCTCCTGGAACTAGTTGTGAGCTGTCTTTAGTGCTCTTATCTGCTGGGCCATCTTTCCAGTCCTTGTCAGCCTTTCTAAAAAAAATTTTTTTATTATTATGTGTGTGCATGTGATGTGTATGTATATGACGTATGTGTGGGTGCATGTATAATGGTGTTCTTGTGGAGATCAGAGGACGACTTCGTGGACTTGGTTCTCTCTTTGTACCTCTATGTTGGTTAAATCTCAGGTGTCCAGGCTTACATGGCAAGCACCATTACCACAGAGTCATCTCACTGGCCTCATAGTCCTTTCTTGAATTTTCTTTTCTCTTTTTCTAGTGCTTGAGTGTAACCCCGGGCCCTATGCTGCTAAGCAAACTCTCCACTACTAAGCTACATCCTTAACCTATATTTTAAAATATATATTAGAACTAAACTGCTTTCCCTCTGTTCTTCACTGTTATATGAGGCAAGGAAGGAAGAGCTCAATCCAGACACTAATAAAAATGGACCCAGGAGTTATCCCTACATGGGGACTGTCCACCTCTTTCTTGATCCTCTGAGAATACCTACTGATGAGAGAAACAGACACCTCCAGTACCCCTGGCAATCCCACCTTATAGCCACATGTCAGGAAGTGAGAAGCAATGGGGAGTGGGGAGATATTCATGGCAAGCTGTGAGGTTCTTCTCTCCAGTGTCTCTTTGGGTGCAATGAGAATTGGAATATTCTTTGCTATGCATGAAGTTTGTCCTACAACATCACATATTGGTATTCTTTAAACACAAATGCAGAATTACAAGTAGGAGAAAGATGATGAGCTCCATCTCTTCCTAGAGCTTATTGGGGTCCTGCTTTTTTTTTTTTTTTTTTTTTTTTTTGGGTTTTTCAAGACAGGGTTTCTCTGTGTAGCTTTGGTGCCTGTCCTGGATCTCACTCTGTAGACCAGACTGGCCTTGAACTGACAGAGATCTGCCTGGCTCTGCCTCCCGAGTGCCAGGATTAAAGGTGTACACTACCACCACCACCACCACCACCACCACCACCACCACCACCACCACCACCATCAGGGTCCTTCTTCTTATTCTTTAGTTTTTGGCTTCTGTTTTGTGAACCTAGGGCCTGAGCTACATTTGTTTCTTTGTTTGTTTGTAGACTTAGTTTACTGTAGGTGGCCAAGAACTTGCTATTCTTCTATCTCAGGCTGCCTGGTAGCTAGGATTACAGACCTGCATCTCCAGGTCCAACTCAGGATTTTGTTATTGTTTCAGACAGGTTTTCACTATGTATCTTTGGCTGGCCTGGAACTCATAGAGATCTACCTGCTTCTGCTCTCCCATGCTGGGATAAAAGGTTTGTGTCACCATGACTGGCCTCAGGGTCCTATTTTTGTGAGTTGTGTTATGGTTGTTTCATGATTAGAGCAACTTACCTAAAAACGGTTCTTATTCATGGTACTGGTAGAGCAACCAAAAAGGAACAGAGGGGAACAGACTCGCTGGGTGCAACTTGGCATTTATAAAATGAGTTAGCAGAGTCAGACACAGTGGTGTACACCTGTATTCCCAGCTACATGGAGGCTGAGCCAGGGGGATGGATTGCTGGGTTGAATAGCGAGACCTCATTTTAAAAATAAAACAAAATGGGGGCCTAGAGAGCTGGCTCAGCAGTTAAGAGAACTTGCTGCTCTTCAGATGACTTAGGTTCAATTCCTAGCACCACATGGTGGCTCCTAACGATCTTTAATTACAGTTCCAGGGGGTCTTATGCCCTTTTCTACCCTCCACAGGCACCAGACACACACATGATATACACACACACACACTAATATAACAAAATTGAGGCATATGTTTAGTATGTTTAATCCAGCATTCATGAGGCAGAAGCAGATGGATCACTGTGAGTCAGCTTGGTCTACATGGGGAGTTCCAGGCCAGCTAGACCTACATAATGAAACCCTACATTTTTTTTCTTGCGGGGAAGGGGGCAGATCGAAACAGGGTTTCTCTGTGTAACAGTCCTGGCTATCCCGAAACTCTCTTTGTAGACCAGGCTGGACTTAAACACAAAGATCCTCCTGCCTCTGCCTCCCAAGCGCTGGGATTAAAGGCGTGCACCACTACTGCCCAGTGAGACCCTACATTTATATACATAACTGAAAATGGTTTAGCACCTCAGTCTGAGTATAGTTGGCAGGGGCTCTGGATGGAGCTCTCCAGCCTCTTCTGTTCAGGATCCCCAAGAAAACTCTGTCCTGTCTCTCCCCTGTTGCAGGTATCAGTCCCTCAACCTGACCCATGTTCCCGAACACAGTGCACCCATCTACGAGTTCCGGTGACAGTGGTTCAGAACAGCGGCCAAATAAAACTGAACTTGGCAACAAAGAGCTTTGCCAAGGAAATTATGTACCTGCCAGAACCAGGAGAGGTGTGTTCCTGTTTCTTCATGAGCAGACTTCATCAGAAAGCATGAATGTTAATTTAACAGGACCCGAGGCGCATGGCCAACCTGCAGGCAGGCAGAGGGAGCTGTCCACTTCCCACCCTCCCTCCTCTCTGTGGCATTGTGGTCACCATCTGTTTCTGAGCAACCTTAAATGCACTTTCCTTCCTGCACAGCTAACTTCTGCATCAAAGAAATGCCATCTGTCCTCGGCCCACCTCTAGCCGAGTGGAAGGTCAGCTCCTGGGTCACCTCAGCCTCGGTGCTCAGTGGTCCCCACCCAGGCCCTACTCCTTCCCCAGCTGCTTGTTTGGTAGCCCAAGGAAAGGCAGAGCCCAGCATAGCATCTTATGCCCCAGAGCTCTGTGAGGAGTTGGCTGGGCCCAGCATCTACCACCAATGAAATGAGGTGGGGACCCTGGTGGGCCTCATCAGCGTTTGATTGCAGTTTGGATGTTTTGTGGGGCCAGTGGCTCTGCTGAGCCCTGTCCTGTTCACAGTGCAAGACTCGCACATGGCTGTCGGGTTTCTGGGCCTGCTGTCGGGGATCACTAAATTTAAGGCTTCCAGATCCCTGGTGGGAGTAGATCCCAAACTGCTTTCTCAGTAAATTTGCTCCAAACTTCTGAACTTGAGGGCAATACTAAAATAAAAGAGTTTTTTATTACAAAATTATTATTTTTATGGTACCTTTAACAAGGACCCTATGGCAAATGCACAATTATTCCGAATTACATTTTATCGTTTTCACATTGAAAACAGCAAATGTTGACTTAGTGATTTTTATATCTATGTCTATATGTATATTTAATCAACCAGCAGTTTTAAAACAAGTCATCTGGTACAAAAGTTTCTCAGCATTGCATAAATTACAGTGCTAAACACAAGAACTGTTTCCGGGGCCAGCTGAGCATTTGTGCCTCCTCCTTTTGCTACTCAAAACATCAGTGTGTCATGACAACCTTTTCCAAAGGCAGAAGGGTCTCCATTCTCCGGAAAGGATGACTGAAATGTTGAGATGGGGTGGGCAGGAAAGATAAATGCGCTCAAATAACTCCAGGCTCGTGTGCCAAAGTGTGGGGGAGGGGAGTGGTTTGGTTTGGTTTGGTTTGGTTTGGTTTTTCTAAATGTTTCAAAAGCTTGATAAGTTGGCATCAGTTGTAGTCCACAAATAAGGTCAGGGTTTTGGGGAAATCTGGTGGTTTACAGGTTCAAACACAAGAGGAAAAAGCTTTAAAAATACAGCATCAGGGCTGGGAGTGTGGCTGATAGAACACTAGCTTGTTACATTTGAGGACCCTGCTTCCATTCCCAGTGCTGGAAAAAGGAACAGCAAGGGTAGCAGCAGGTTGACTGTCCGTGTTCTGTGCTGTATGTTACTAATCCTGACTGTTGGGAGAGCCTTAAAAGAGCAGAAGGGGGAAAGGAACCGGCAGGTCCTTGTGATACCTGTAGTCCTGAGACCGTGAGCAGAGAGTACCACTTACCCAGTCAGTAAAATCAGGGAAACCCAGAAACCACAAAAATAAATCCCAAGACTTAAGTAGAAAAAATAATTCACATCCATTGCTAATGCTGAATCACATGGCTCCTTACCTTTGAAAAGCAAGCTGGGTATGGTAATGCACCTATCTATAGTCCCAACTACTCAGAAACCTGAGCCCAGAAGTCAGGGTCAGTCTCGGGTGACCCTAGACTTCATCTCCAAACAAAAGACATCAAAATTCAACTGAGCATCAAATGGCTGGCTCCGATGAGAAACACCTGGCTTACACTCATGCCCACCATCACTTCAGTTAAGCTGGAGGACAGCACTGAAGAATGGAGGAGGTGAGGGACTGTGCTGGTCTCCTCCCTGGAGCACACACTCAGCTCCTCTGCTGTCCTTTCAGGCATCCCAGTCAACCCTTGTGTATACCATGCAAGTATCATTCGGCAGTAGGTGGCGTCCCCCTGAAACCAGGGCTTGTGTGTAGCTCAAGCGGCACATCAATGCGCAGTTTCTCCTGTAAACTGGGCAGATCAGGTTGTAGTGTAGGGACACCCCCCCCCCCCCCCCCCGTTTTTTTTCTTTTGGTCTCTTTGAAGTCAGGTTCTTACTGTAACTCTGGCTGTCCTAGAACTCACTATGTAGATCAGGCTGACCTTGAACTCACAGAGATCCACCTGATGGCTTGGAGTACTAGGATTAAAGGTTTGAGCCACCACACCCTGCTCCTTGCTCTTTCTTAGCTAGATAAGTGCTCCAGTTGTGCTTAGAAAAATGAGGTAAGGATGCCTTTAGCAGCCTTCAGACCCTGAAGACTTGCTGCTTAGAAGTCTGCCCCTGGGCATTGGGCAGGAATAAGCATGTTTCACTTAGTAACTCCTACCTGATGGACAATGACTTTTCTTTTTCTGTCCCTGAAGGACCTATGGGGACTTGTCTCCATCTGTAGCTCTTTCCCAAACTGTCTTGGTGGTTTACATGCCTCTGGTACTGTGTGCAATATCTTTGACTGACACTTGTATCTAACATTGAGAAATAAGTGCAGACTGCAAATTTCCTACTGTTCTCTGCTCCAGCAAGCCAGCCCCAGGCAGGGACTAGAGGGCTGGCTGGTCTCACCCTCCACTCAGAAGGCTCCACTGCTGTGGCCAGCCTTGGCCCTCCGTGCCCTGCTTTACTCCTACCCACCCATCCCTTTTAAGATTGTCTAGCATTTCAGCTGCAGTCCAAAAGTAAGTAGACAATGCCTAATATTAAGTAGGAAGTCAGTCGGTGTGCTGGCTCTGTTAGCAGTGTTGAAGTCAGATTCCAGAGGGACAAAGGGGTTTGTTTCTCAATGTCGTTTGCTTTTAGAAGCAGGGAATTTATATTCTCTCTAAGGCCTTGAATGGATTTGTTTTCCTCATAAAATAGTCACTGATAAGCTAATTTTTAAAAAAAGAAATGCCATTAAGTATGTTACATTGTGGTTTTAAATTACTAACAAGTTCTGGGAAAGAAAAATACTTGATTTTGAATCTTAAATGTTTTTTAAAAATTAGATTTGAATGGGCGCAAAGTATGAGTATTTTGTTTCTCTATGGAAGACCTGTGGAAAGGGTTTGAAGCGTGCAGTGGGAGAAGTATTTTGCAGAGCTATCAATGTCTAAATAATTTTTAAAAACAATAAAGGTATTTAAGCAGTGTGTGTCCACTTTCTAAGTCAAAACGATTCCATTAGAGGAAACCAGTCCCTATGTGGCCCTGTAGCTACAGAGCGGGCCACTGTCATGAGTGTGCTATGCCACACACGTAGATGAACACTTGTGTCTCCACAGTGTCAGAATTCACTGGATGACAATGAAGTCACAAGGTCTAGTGGTTGCAGTGGCAGTAATGTGTCTAAGTCCACCTACCTCCGTTGCTGACCCAGGCGAAGGCAGGTTCTTTATTCTACCACATCACGTAGTAGATACAGCTGTGTGTGCATGCGTGGACTATGGGGTGAAGAGAACTGAAAGCTGCTGCAGAGTAGGCTGAAGAGCATACCGATAAGGTAATAGATCAGTCCCCAGAGGAGCTGCCATGGAGTTTGAGTCCTGCTGTGAGGTGAGAGGCTGAACCAAGTCCAGAGCAGGAAACTACAGGTCAGGTCCGGGTTTGATCAGGTGGATGGGCAGGCAGTCTACTGCATCAGCAGCAGGTGTACTGAGTCAAGTTGGGGAGTCTCAGTCCTTGTACACATATCTGATAGTAGATTGGTATGGGTCATGCCATCACAGGTAGGTGTCCATCACTCTGGGGTTCAGGTGAGAAATGACACCCTTTCCTCCATCTGGTGTGTCCTGTAAGTTCTTGCCTTGGTTTCTCTAATAGGATTTTTAGATTTGATGTGTGTTTTGTCTACATGTATATATGTATATCATATAGGTGCCTACTAGTCACAGATACCGGAAGAGCTGTGGGTTCCCCTCAAACTGGAGGTGCAGGTGGTTTTGGAATACAGGCGGTTGTAAGACACCATGGAGGACGCCAGGTGGCGGTGGTGGTGCAGGAGGCAGAGCCAGGTGGATCTGTGTGAGTTCGAGGCCAGCCTGGGCTACAGCATGAGTTCCAGGACAGGCACCAAAGCTGCACAGAGAAACCCTGTCTTGAAAAAACCAAAAAAAAAAAAAAAAGTGCTGGTAGTCAAACCTGGGTCCTCTGCAAGAACAAGTTTTTTGGGGTGTTTGGTTGGTTGATTAGTTGGTTTTTTTGAGACAGGGTTTCTCTGTAACAGACCTAGTTGTACTGGAACTTACTCTATAGACCAGGCTGGCCTTGAACTCTCAGAGATTCACCTGCCTCTGTCTCCAGAGTGCTGGGACTAAAGGTGTGCATCACCACATCTGGCTCAAGACAAGTGCTTTTAACTTCTCAGCTATCTCTCCAAACCCCCCATAGGATTTTCAGATGCCTGTGTGCCTCTACCATTTAAATTCTCCCCAGTAAACATATAGGGTGGCCCCCTTTTATTCCCAGGAATAACTCATTTATTAATCTGTACTGGATGGGTGTGCTGTTTTGGAGTCCACCTAGAGGCTGCCATCATCCTCCCTCACAACAGAGTCAAAAGCTGATGGTAAAATTGAGTCTTCCGGGGGATATGCCCAGCCTGGAGAACAATTACTGATTTGTACAGTGGAGTAACAGAGTAGATGTCAACGGTCTTTCAGACTGAGGCCCTCTGACGGTTTTTAGCCAGCCACTCCATCCTTTGTCTTCTCTCCATTTTGTTAGTCTCGGCACTTCCTTAGAAATCTGGAAGTCTTTTCTTGACATGTCAGTACTGAGGCAGCATGCAGACGAGCCTCTCTGATGCTAGTGGTGTTCGGACCGCTGATAGAGTCAATGTTGCCTTCAGCTGCTCACATTACCGAGGGAGCAAAATAATCCTAAAGCATGAGCACTTCGGCTGCACCACGGTGTGCTAAAGCTGGGTGTTGGCAGCAAGCTCTGGGCCTCAATTTCTGTATCGTGTCTGAGTCCATAACTCAGGACACTCAGTATTACTTCATTAGACTGTGGCCAGAACATTTGAGTTTCTGGGAAACAGTCTCAAATATTTAAGAGATTTAACTTTTAAACTGGAATGTTAAGGAAATTTACATTGATGGTCACCATGGGCCACAAAGCAAGATCCCCATCTTTTTTCTTTTTATTATTATTAATTATTATTTATACAGTGTTCTGCCTGCATGTATACCTGCAGGCCAGAAGAGGGCACCAGATCTCATTAAAGATGGTTGTGAGCCACCATGTGGTTGCTGGGAATTGAACTCAGGACCTCTGGAAGAGCAGCCAGTGCTCTTAACCTCTGAGCCATCTCTCCAGCCCCAAGATCCCCATTTTAAGCCAGGTAGTGGTGGTTCAGGCCTTTAATCCCAGTACTTGGGAGGCAGAGGCAGGTGGACCTCTGAGTTCAAGGCCAGCCTGGTCTTGGGAGGGTGGAGGAACAGTTCCACTGTGGTATAGACAAGCTGGCCTCAGCCTGTAATCCTCCTGCCTCATCCTCAAGTGCTAGGATTACAGACATGCTCCACAGCACCTTTCTAGTATCTCAATTTAAAATTTTTTCTGTGCATGTACATACACACGTATATCGGTGCCCTTGGAGGCCAGAAGAGGGCATTAGTGCCCCTGGAGCTGGCATTACAGGAAGTTGTGAGCTGTCCCATGTGGGCACTAGGAACCAAAATCAGGTCATCTGGAAGGACAGCAAGGGCTCTTAATCACTAAACCTATATCTCAATTTAAAAAATTATTTTTATTTATTTTATCTTATGTGTGTATGTATGTATACCACATACATGCCTGTCATGAGGAGGTCAAAAGAGGGCATAAGATCATCTAGAACTGGAGTTACAGGTTGTTGTGAGCCACCATGTGGGTCCTGGGAACCAAACCCAGGTTTTGGGTGGTTTTTTTTTTTTTTTTTGGTTGGGTTTTTGTTTGTTTGTTTTTCAAGACCAGTTTCTCTGTGTAGACCCAACTGTCCTGGAACTCACTCTGTAGACCAGGCTGGTCTTGAACTCACAGACATTCCCCCTGCTGGGATTAAAGGTGTATGCCACCACTGTCCAGCTTTTTTTGTTTTTTGCAAGAGTGCTCTTAACCACTGAGTCATCTTTTCTGCCCTGCATATCTCAATTCTTTTTGTTGTTGTTGTTGTTTTGTTTTGTTTTGTGTTTCAAGACAGGGTTTCTCTGTGTAGCCCTGGCCGTCCTGGAACTCACTCTGTAGACCAGTCTGGCCTTAAGCTCAGAGATCCACCTGCTTCTGCCTCCCAAGTGCTGGGATTAAAGGCGTGCACCACCACTGCCTGGCTTCAGTTCTTAAATATCCAAATTTTACCTTATGTCTGCCCTGGTATGAGGCCTTAAGAACAACAGAATGTGTGGGAATTCTGCTAGGTGTAGATGCAAATGAAAGACAAAAGGGAAAGGGCAGGCAGGTACTCTGACTCACTGCCAAGCACCTCTGAGAAGGAAGGCATAGGTGTTGTGCGGGAGTGAATCAGGTAACTGGGGCAGAAGTCTGAGGCCCAGCGGTCCATCTCCAGTGCCTCCAACCTGAAGGAAAAGGAGCTGGAGAGATGGCTCAGCAGTTAAGAGCACTGGCTGCTCCTCCAGAGAACCCGGGTTTGATTCCCAGCACCCACATGGCAGCTCACAACCAACTGAAGCTCCAGTTCCAATTCCAGATCCAACACCCTCTTCTGGACTCTCCAGGTACCAGGCACACATGTGGTGCACAAAAACGTACATGTAGGCAAAACACCCATGCACATAAAATAACATAGTTTTAAAAAAATAAAATAAATAAGGCAACTAACCTTGATGCCGGAAGCAAAGGGTCTGGGACTGAGTGCTCTTGAGCAGCCCTCTGTCCAGATTTTCTTCAAAAACATCTCAAGGTTGAAACTCCCCTTATTTGTACATAGCAGGAAAACATAAAAAGCTTCTCATTCGTAGAAAAGTATATTCTAAATTCAAGTTCTTTTTAAAGATTTTTTTTTTATTATTATGTATACAGTGTGCCTACATATATGCCTGCATGACAGAAGAGGGCACCAGATCTCACTACAGGTGATTGTGAGCCACCGTGTGGTTGCTGGGAATCCATATCCCCTTCTGTTGTCTCAGCTTCATTCCGCCACGGCTTCTCTAGCTGGCATGATGAAGCGGTGCTGCTCAAACCTGGCTGCATGCCACTCTAGAGTTCAGTCCAACTCCTTATGTCAAACTGTGCAGCTGGGTGCACCCATAGCCCTAGCTGCTGGGGTGCTGAGGCAGGAAGATCATGAGCCCACACGTTCAAAACCAGCTTAGTCATCATAATGAGACCTTGGGTTCTAGAGATTAAATTCTCAAGTCCAACAGCCCTGTGTTGGGCTGAATGCAACCTGTTAGTGTTCCTGAAGCTCCCAGCATAACTGACATGCAGCAAAGTTTTTGAATGATGGTGTGAGTCCCACTGAAAATGAGAAAGGCTCTAGAGCAACGGTTCTCAACCTGCGGGCCCTTTCGGGCCTCAAATGACCCTTTCACTGGGGTCACACATCAGATATCTTGCATACCAGATATTTACAGTATGATTCGTAACAGTAACAGAATTATTGTTATAAAGTAGCATTGATAATAATTTTATGGTTGGGGATCACCACAACATGAGGAACTGTATTAAAAGGTCACAGCATTAGGAAGGTTGAAAACCACTGCTCCAGGGCTTAGGATGTTAGGGTATTAAATGCAGACTTGTGGTAGAAACCATCCAGGCTTCTGGTAGTGAAACTTCAGAGTAGCACTGGGACACGGGGCACCAGGGAGATAGATGGGTCTGTCAGTAAAGGTGGCATAGGAGCATGGTGACTTGAGTCAGATCCTCAGCACCCACATAAAACCAGCATGCACCTGTAATCCCAGCACTGGGTAGGTGGAGACACAAGGATCCTGCAGGCTTGCTAACCAGCCAGTCCTCCCCCTCCTCCCCCTCTTCTTCTCCCTTCTCCTCCCCTTCCTCTTCTCTTCCTCCTCTCCCCTTTTCTTCTTCTTACTCCTCTTTCTCTCCCTCTTCCTTTTCTTCCTCTTCCTCTTTCCTTCTCTTCTTCCTCTTTCTTTTCTTTTCTTTTCTTTCTTTTTTTTTTTTTTTTTTTGG